ATCTTTTGAATGTAGCTTTGTTATTTGTTGTGCTGTTTTCAATTTGCCTCATATTCTAGAATCCTGGAAATTCAAAGTTGGAAGGGACCTCAGAGATCATTTAGCTCAGTGTCCTTGTTTTTCAGATGAGGAAATGGGGCAGGGCGTGGAAATTAAGTAACTTATCCAGGGTGGTTAAGTACTTTGCCCAACATAACACAGGAGTTTCTGGCACTTAGTAGGTGCTTAATTAATACTTTTTGAATAAATGAATGAGAGTGTCAGACCTAGAATTCAAACCCAGGTCTTCCAGACCAAACCCACTGTAGTGTGCTATTTATCATAATTTCCAAATCTTCTTATCCTGCTTCCTTTCTTTTTCCTCCCTCCATGCCACCAATCTTGCCATATAGCTTGAAACTAAGACTTTTGGGACACCCAGTATTTTTTAACTTGTCAATGTGTTTCTCATAGCTGCACCTCTCAGACCTCTTCCTGACTGAATTTGAAGCCTGGCTTAGAACAGCGATAACTAGTGTTTTAAATCATTCAAGAAATCCAAGCTGGGTAGTCTAATCTTTCACAAATTCTATGTATAGTCTGGGGCTAAGTACTAGGGTGTCAAGACTTAGGAATTTTTCTGTATGTTCCACAGTTCTATATGATCTTGCTTTCTATTGGACACCCTAACCAACATTGACAGTACCAGGGAGCTTGCTAATAAAATGAGGGTCATACAGCCTTGTGAACAGACTGTGGCTGAAGTGGAAAAGTGTAATTCATTTGGAAAACAGAATAGAGGCTATCACAGAACCTCCCTACTTAGACTCTAATATCACAGTCTTGAATGTGCTTTTAGGGGTAGAAATGGCATTAAAGAGAGCAAAGAAGATAAAAGAAAGGAGTACCAAAACAAGAATATATGTCACTGGAAGAGATATAGCTGGGAGAGAATTAAAAGATTGATTCTTAAGGTGATCTAAAAGAGGAGAAGTTACCAAGATTGTGAGGGGGAAAACATCAAACTTTATTATTATTCAAAAAAGGCAACTGGAAGGATATAATTCTATTTGCCTACTTTCCTGTCCATAAAAAATTTTTGTGAGAATAATATATATTTTTATTTTTGGCAAGGCAATGGGGTTAAGTGACTTGCTCAGGGTCACACAGCTAGTAAGTGTCAAGTGTTTGGTCTGAGGCCGGATTTGAACTCAGGTCCTCCTGACTTCAGGGCCAGTGCTCTATCCACTGCGCCACCTAGTTGCCCCCAAGAATAATATATAGATGTATCATGGGTGACCTTGGTGAGAGTATTAGTGAGAGTATTATTAGGAAATAAGCAGACTTTGGTAATATTACAGTAGACTACATCTCCACCATCAAACAACTGATGTAAGGAATGTATGATCTCACTGTACTTATTGTTTGCAGATTAAAAAAGAATTTGATTTGATTGAACAAAGCTCTGACTTGAAGGCTTTCATCATGTCCCCCAAGCGTGTGTCAGTACTTTATGAAATTCCTTGAAAGATGTAACAGAGATGGCCCTGCTCATTAATACCAGGGGAGGCAAGATATATACTACCAAAAATTTTCACCCCTACCATGGAGGATGTGCAGGACAGAGCCCGAGTTGTACTTACCTCATTTGATCTTAAATAATAAATATCCAATAACTGGTACAGTAAGAGAAAGGATTCCAGATGGGGGAAAGATCAGTTCCTTCTAGAGTAGTCCAGGGGAGATTCCATGGAGGTCATTTTTGAGTTAAGACTTGAAAGATAGATCCTAGGGTCATAGATTTCAAGCTGGGAAGGAATTAGAGGTCATCTAGTTCAACCCTTCATTTTACAGATGAGGAAACTGAGGCCCAGAGAAATGAAGTGACTTGCCCAAGGCCACATAAGTAGGCAGAGTTAATATAAGCAATGAGGTGCGTGGAGGATATTGTAGATGGGAAGGATAGTAAAGCTGAAGATGTAGGAATAGCTGATCTGGGTTTGGGAAGCAGTGAGTTAACCAGTGACATAAAAATTGTCTGAGGATTCATTGATAGGTGTTACTGTCAATCACCCTTACTGCTACCCAGAGACACCCTAATAACCAGTTTATTAAGTGCTGGGCATAGTTCCAAGGGACACAAAAACTCATGGGCCATGCTTCAGCAACATTTTATAGGTTTTAGTTACAAAGCAAGATGGATACAATAGAATTTTCCAGAGGACAGAAAAGGAAGGTAAACATTTACACTTCAAAGAACAGATAGCAGAAGGCAAAGAACTACATCAAGTGAAACTATAAACTAGCCAGTAAATACTAGGGATAAAGTTGGAATTTTCAAACCGGCTATTAACCTCAGAGCTATGCCTAGCTACTTGACATGCTCAACTTAAGTAAATAAAAGTAATAAAAATGACCCAGAAAGTTCTTATCACTCATCAGTTAATTATCTAAGCTAAAGCTGGGTGTCTCAGCTAAATTCTGCAAGCTCTTGCCAGTGATGACTTTCTGCTCAAATATGGCAATACTAAAATTCTCTTACCTCAATATGGCCTGAACAGAAGATTTGTGTAAGGCAGTAGGAAAGGTTATGTCTAGAAAAGGAGGTTGGGGCCAGGTAGTAAAACATGGTAGAGTGAAAGGAGCACTAGTTCCAGAGTCAGGTGACCTGGGGGACTACTAGGGGGTGTAGTGGTCAGAGCACCGGGTCTGGAGTCAAGAACACCTAAGTGCAAATCTGGCCTCAGACACTTACTAGCTGTGTGACCCTGGGCAAGTCACTTAACCCTGTTTGCCTCAGTCTCCTCATCTGTAAAATGAGCTGGAAGAAGAAATGTCAAACCAAGAAAACCTCAAATGGGGATCACAAAGAGTAGGAAAAAAATTGAACAACAGCAATAACGGGCGACTTGGCTTCAACCTTGCCCCTTTCTTACTACCTGTGTCATCTTGGGAAAGTTTTATTTCACCTCCCTCGGCCTCAGTTTCCTCATGAGGGGAGTTGGACTAGATATCTTCTGAGGTCCCTTCCCGCTCTACGTCTCTGATTCTATGAGGACGTATAGAAAGAGAGAAAAGAATAGAGGCTAAGTCTCTCTCCTTGAAGATCTCGTAAGATGGGTAGTTCGATAAAGAACAAACATTTTCAAGGAGGTAACAAAGCTTGGAAGGGGGCAAGGGAAGAATTGTGTCTAAATTTGTGGAAAGATTTTAAGGCTGCATCCTCTTGAAGTGTTCTTTGATTCTCCCACCAGAAGTTTCGGGTGATTTCCCCTTCCCCTTTTCATTTTGTACTGGAGCACTGTGGATTTCTCCTTGGCCCCATCACAACCTACTCTGCATCGAACATCTTGTACGGTTAGCATTCTCCCTATTAGACTGGAAGCTCTTTGAGGAAAGGAGCTATGAGTTTTCCTCCTATCTTTGTATTCCCCTCCCCTCCAGGCTTAACACAGTGCCTTAGACATTTTTCTTAAACTGGGTCTGTGGTTTCATTAGTATAGGTGAACTCCCAGTGAGGAAACTCCCTCCACTGATGCCGATATGTAGTATCTGCTTTGCAACTTATACCCTTAGTTACCTGGGCCAATGAGAGGTTAATCAATTTGCCCAGAATCACAGAGGCAGGTCTTGAACTCAGGTCTTCTTAAGACTGAGGGCAGTTAGGTGGTGTGGTGGAGAGAGTGCTGAACTGGGAGTCAGGAAGACCTCAGTTCAAATCCTGCCCCAGATGCTTACCAGCTTTGTGAACCTGGCCAAATTCCTTAACCTCTCAGCTTCACTTTCTGCATCTGTCAAAGCACTTTGCCAAACTTTTTTGTTTGTTTTTGTTTTTTGCTAGGCAATGGGGTTAAATGACTTGCCCAGTCACAGAGCTAGTAAGTGTTATGTGTCTGAGGTCGGACTTGAACTCAGGTCCTCCTTACTCCAGGGCCGGTGCTCTATCCACTTTGCCACTTAGCTGCCCCTTTGCCAAACTTTTAAGTGCTATCTTTGTTAGCTAATATTACAGGCTACTTCCTACCTTGTACTCAATAAGCATTTGATAAATGTGAATTTGAATGAAATTGAAGGGTTGGTGGGACTCAAGGAGGATAGGGACAATAGGAGAGTGATTTGGGCAAGTGCCTTGGACTCTCTGAGCCTCAGTTTCCTCATCTGGAAAACAAAGGGGTTGGATTAGAGGATTTCTAAGGCCTCTTCTAGCTCTAACATTCTATGAATTGCACAGCCTTTCCAGAGCCAAATGCACTTTGAGTTTGTCATTTTGTTGTCTTATTTCTTACTGCCCATAATCTCATGGCCAGGCTAAAAAACTCTAGGTTGGTTCTGCCAAACTTTCTCAAAGGGAAACATGGTACTCAGAACTATTTTTCTGACTTGGGGAGATGAGTGGGGAATAGGTGCAGATGAAAGTAGGCAAAGGAAACCAAGAAAGTCCTCTTGTTTTAAAAACAAAGACAAAGACATCTTCCCTCACGTTTGGCTCTAAGTAGGAATTTTTTGGAGTTAACTAGTTCCTGATTTAAAATGTAATTGCCCCCTCTAAGTCATTTACATCATTCACACCTGTCTAGTCCAAACCCCACATTTTCCAAAAGATGACACTGGCTTTCCTATACCTGGCTAAGCATGTTCACCTAAACTAGTCATTTCCCCTCTCAATAAAATGGGTGCTGGATTAGATTATTTCCCTGGTTCTTTCTAGCTTTATGTGCTGCTGGCTATCTGATTGCAGAAGGAAAAGAAAGGGGTAGCCAGAATTGTTTTAAGGTGTCTATACGTTACTTTGCTCCCAGCCTCCGTCCCAGGTTGCTGTGCCTTGTTGCACAAATCCTTTCCCTCCTAGGTCTTTTTAGTCCCTTTCCTTTACTTCCTGTCACTTCTGGATTATGTAGTTGAAGGGCTCTAAACCCTCCAGGTTGTTAGTGTTGGCGCGTGGTCCTTCCTGGTGACTCGTCAGTATCACCGTACTCCCTGTGGGCAAGCCTCCAACCGTGCTTTGTGTCTGCAGAGCTCCATCCTGGAAGATGCTGAAGCCTTCTTGGAGCTGTCTTGGGACCCTGCTCATGGCCCTGCTGTTTCAGACCTCAGAGTCGGTTTATAATCGGTGTCTGAGCGTCAGACAGTGTAAAGATAAAGAGACACCAGGAAGTTTCAATGTAAGTGGGACCGGGGTGGGGGGGGATGACATCTTGGTTTGGGGAAAAGGGGCAGTACGTGTTATTAGGAAGGAGGGAGGTAAGTGAAGGGACTCAGAGAGGGGGGAACTCAGTTACAGTCAAGTGGGAGTTTCTATCTAGCCTGGATCAAAGTGAAAATACAGATGACTGAAGGAAGTTGCTATGGTAATGGGGGGTGGGGTTTGAAGTTAGGAAGCCTACTTTCTGTCCTGCCTACCTTCTCCTTGATCTCCCATACTTCCTATAGGATATCTCCCACTTTGAACTACTTGGAAACAGTGGCTTTCTAAGATGTCATAATGGGCCTCTTAAGATAATTAGAGTCAATTCCTGGTGGGGGGAAGAGGTTCCCATCTCCCCATTTCTCAGTTTAATAATTATTTCTTTTCAACTGGCCTTATGTCACCTTTCCTCCCTCCCCCCTGCCTGCTCCCCAAGCAACTTCTCTAGAGGAAGGAAAAACCAAGATGTCATTTCCTTTCCTTTGAAAAGAGACCAGGCAGTAATAATAGCAAGCATACTTGATATTTTTATATAAAGCACTTTACATGTTATCTCATTTGACCCTCACAAAACCTTGTGCTATTATCCCCATTTTACAGATTAGGAAGCTGAGGCCAAGTGAGTTGAAAGGATTTTCCCAGGGTCAACCAAATCAGAGGCAAGATTCAAACTCAGGCTGGACTCCATGTCTAACACCCTGGATTTGGAGTCAAAGGACCTGAGTTCAAATCTTGCCTCCATCACTTAGTATCTCTGTGACCTTGGACAAGTTATTTAACCTCTCCAGACCTCAGTTTCCTCCTCTGTAAATGAGGGACTTAACTAGATCCCTCTAAGCTCTCTTCCATCTGTACATTTATTTAGTCTTGTGACCTTATGACTTATGGTGATAACAGCTCACATTTCTGAAGTGCTTTACAAAGAGATTAAGTGACTTGTCCACAGTCACACAGCTAACATCAGAATCCTGAAGTAATCCCATGTTCTCTTGACTCCAAGTCCAGTGCTCTTACCATTATGCTATAGCTGTCCGACAAACACATCCTCCACTTTTGGGGAGTCTACTTAACCATGAAGGGCTCTGGATTACAGTCCAAGAAACCTGGGTTCTAGTCTTCACAGTCACTACTTAGTCATATGACCTTAAACACGACATTGAATATTTCAGGGACTCAGTTTTCTCATCTGCTGAATGAGGGGACTGGACTAATCTCTAAGACCTTTGCCAATTCTAAAATTCTAGGACTCTAAATTGTTAGCCTGGGGTATTCCCTCCAGCTGAGTTGGATTGGGCTCTTCCTTGTCCCCCTCTGTGGTGAGTACCCAGAGTCTCTCTGGTTCATGGCTCTGGCTGTTCCTCCATGAAATGGGTGACTCGAGGATACAGCATCACATCTCTCAGTCAATGAGTGGGTCTGGAAAGTGGTCCCTATTCTCTGTGTCCCATGTGGAACCCTGGTTTTAGTCTCTTCATCCCAAACTAGGGTGGGATTACCAGGAAGCCTATCTCTTACCCAATAGTTCACTGACTAGGGGAGAGTGAAATGCAAAATCTCCTACAGGGGGAATGCAAGGTAAGTGGGGAATGGTCTCTGACATCTTGAACAAATTGGGTCTCATATTTGGTGAAGGCTGTAAAGGCTTAATGTGGGCACAGGGTGAGGTGGTGTGGTTATGGGGCTGGTTGACATGGGAACAGGGTAAGGAAAAAAGGTCAAGTCCAAATATAAGATCAGAACTGAGGCATGAACCAGAGGGTCTAGAATTAGGAATTTTTCTTTTGTTTTTGAATCTGGGGGAATGTTTACCACAATACCAACCTATTTCACCAATTCAGGCTTGAAGTTCAAATCCAGTCAATTCAAGACAATTTCTTTGTCTTTTCTTTCTTTCCTTTTTTTTTTTTTTTGCTTTGTGTCTCTAGAGTCTACCTAGCACATTGTTGGCACTTAATAAACACATTTTGATCTTTTCATATTCAGAACTGTATTGAAATCAGTTGAACTGTTAAGTGCCTACTGCGTACAGATGCGGTGGTATGATATTCTCCCTTCCTACCCATCTTTTGCCCTCACTCCCATCTCTTCTCTACCAGGAGTGCCTCAAATCCTGCAGTCTGGACCGTGCACTCTATGGATCAAATGACCTAAAACGTAGCACAAAGCAAAGAGATATCTACAGTGGCACCATCAGTAGTGATGAAGGGAATGTGGACCAAAAGATACGAGAGCTAATGCAGGGGGACCTCCTGGACTTGGTCTCTCCAGGAATTTGGGAAGAGGACAAAGAGGTGCAAGGAGAGGATCTACCACTGATCCGAAAAGCCAGACAATTTGATGCCAAAAGGTCCTATTCCATGCAACACTTCCGCTGGGGGAAGCCAGTGGGTAAAAAGCGGCGCCCTGTGAAGGTCTTTCCCAATGGGGTGGAAGAAGAATCTGCAGAGTCTTACCCTGTAGACTTCAAAAGGGACCTCTCCATGAAGATCGACTTCTCTGATGTTCCTGAGCTAACTGATGATGACGTGGGGGATACCCCAGGACCAAGTGGAGACAAAAAAAAGAATGAAGGGGGATACAGGATGGAGCATTTTCGGTGGGGTACCCCTCCCAAGAGGAAGAATAAAAATAAGGATAAGAATAAGCGGTATGGAGGCTTCATGGTTTCTGAGAAAAGTCATACCCCTCTTATGACACTGTTCAGAAATGCCATTGTCAAGAATGCCCATGAGAAGGGGCAGTAATGGAGGGGCTGGGGGAGGGACAACCCTAGGTTTTCAATGAGGGAGGCAGCCCCTGAGTCCCTTCTGCTTCCTTTCCTTCCCTCCTGCATTCCTATCTCCCTTTTCCCAGGCTTGGGGTGCTACATAGTCAAACCCTCAGTAGCCTTGCCTTCACCTGCTAAAACTGTCTGTCTGTCTTTAGGAAATAAAGCTCATTTGATTTCACATTAGATTTCTGACTTTGAATGTGTATAAAGAAAAAAAATATAAATACTCATTAAAGCAAATATATTACACCATTTTTTACAGATAGGAAAGGAAGAACAGTAGGAGGGAAAGGCTAGTTTCTAGACTGCCAGGTGACAATATTTTCATATATAATGAGACACAAGGTGATGCAAATGCATGGGGGAGAAAAAATTTTTGTGAGCTAAGTAGACTTGTAGAATCTCCATTGGTATAACAGCTAGCATGCCAGAGAGGAACTGGAATTCTAGCATCTTGAACCTCTAACTAGCACTTTCAGCAACCAGGATAAACAAGTTGCTCTTATATAAAACATTTTAAGACACATTCAGTTGGGCAAATGGTGAAGGAGAGACTTCAGATCTCAAAATATTAAGAGACAACTCCCTGGAAAGGGAGTAGGGCAGGGCCAGCCCAGGTAGGGGAGAGATCACCTGACAAATGCTCTCAGTGCCCTCCAATTATCAATGACCTGAGGAAAAGTACTTATCACCTAACCTTAGTTACAACTCTGCCATCACCTTACATTAGCTTACTTTTCTTCTGAGGGATTCAAATGTCCTTTGCAAATATCATACTACACCCAATCTGAGAAAGGCAGTCTTATTACTGAGAAAAGAAAATTAAAGGCCAGAGAAGGGAATGAATGAATGGTTTGTTAGGTACTTGCTATATGACAATCATTATGCTAAGGTTGGGGCCACAAATACAAAAAAGAGACAGTCTGCTCTTAAGGTCTTTACATTCTGAGAGAAGGAGACAACACATAGAAAGTAGTGGTGGAGAGGGAAGGATGTTTAGTTCGGGTAAATCGTAGGGATGATGAACAATTAGATGGAATGGGAAGTCATAGGGATGAGAAGAGACAAAGCAATTGAAGTCAGAGCTAGAAAAAGACCACAAGGTATCCTGACATCTGGGTAGGTCCTGCAATTGGTCAATCACTCACCAATCGTATGGGGGAGAAACAATAAGACCATCTCCCAATCTTCAAGGAACTTACATTCTCATGAGAAGATAGGGCTGATCCTCGAAACAATAAGCAATCAATCCAAGCCAGAATATAAATAAATTCTAACTCCTACATCTCTCCAATGGACCTTGTTGACTCTTGGCCTTGGTGCCCCTTATCTCTGAATTGGAGTCCTTCCAAAACTACTGGTCACAATACAATGAAGGGTGAAGCAAGGATGTTCAGTATCACCTCTATTATTCAATATTGTACTAGAAATGTTAGCTATTGCAATAAGAGAAGAAAAAGAAATGGAAGGAATTAAAATAGGCAATGAGGAAACAAAACTATCACTCTTTGAAGACATGATGTTATATTTAGAAAATCTAGAGAATCAGCTAAAAAACTACTTCAAATTATTAACAACATTACCAAAGTTGCAAGATACAAAATAAACCCACATAAATCATCAGCATTTCTGCATATTACCAACAAAACCCAGCAGCAAGAGATAGAAAGTGAAATTCCATTTAAAATAACTGTAGACAGTATAAAATACTTGGGAGTCTATCTGCCAAGACAAACCCAGGAACTATATGAACACAACTACAAAACACTTTTCACACAAATAAAGTTAGATCTAAACAACTGGAAAAAATATCAATTGCTCCTGAGTAGACTGAGCTAATATAATAACAATGACAGTTCTGCCTAAATTAATCTATCTATTTAGTGCTGTACCAATAAAACTATCAAAAATTATTTTATAGAGCTAGAAAAATTAATAACAAAATTCATCCAAAAGAACAAAAGGTCAAGGATATCAAGGGAATCAATGAAAAAAAAATGTGAAGGAAGGCGATCTAGCCATACCAGATCTCAAACTGTTATAAAGCAGTAATGAGCAAACCAATCTAGTACTGGCTAAGAAATAGAGTGGTGGATCAGTGGAATAGATTAAGTACAAATTACATTCTAGTAAACGACCACAGTAATCTGTTATATGATAAATCCAAAGATTCAAGCTTTTGGAACAAAAACTCATTATTTCACGAAAACTGCTGGGAAAACTAGAAAACAGTATAGCAGAACAACATCTTACACTGTATACCAAGATAAAGTCAAAATGGGTACATGACTTACACATGAAGGGTGATACCATAAACAAATTAGGAGAGCATAGAATAGTTTATCTGTCAGATCTATGGATAAGGGAAGAATTTATGACCAAACAAGAGATAGAAAGCATTACAAAACATAAAATAGATAATTTTGATTATATAGAATTTTAGAAAATTTGCACAAACAAAACCAATGCAATAATGTAGATAATTAATCAACAACCATTTATTAAGCACTTTTATTAAGCAGTTATTAAGCATGCTGGGCACTGTCTAATAGAAGCGTTGTAGAAGAAGAGACCACTGTAACCTATAAGCAGCTTGGCCTGGAATCAGGAGAGATCTGGGTTCAGATCCTGCCTCTGACAGTTATTGCCTAGATCACTGTGGACAAGTTATTTAATCTCCCTGGTCCCAATTCCTTATCTGTGAGATGCAGGTAGTGATACCTAAAATACCCATCTTCTTAAATGAGGGGCTAGTATGAAGCTCAAATAGGATAATGGATGTAACCAGGGGTGTGCTGGGAAATATTTAATGACTGACTCCCTCTGGGGAAAACTGTTTGCAAGACACACGTTTAAGTTTAATCTTTGATATTAAAATTTTCTCCATCACTTTTTTAAAGTCTAGAATGATAATCAACAAAACAACAAATTAAACCTTGATTTGCAATATTTGCCAGTTTCCAAGGTATAAATGCTCACACTGAACATTTTAACAATGGGGATTCAAACTGGCTCTAGGAGACCCTTGGATATAAAGGGCTTTGCAAATTTTCGGTGTCAACTACAATTATTCTCCTGATATCATCCTGTTCCAGTACCTCAAATGCCAAGTTCCTAATACTAAGACTTGTGTATGCAAAATGGTACGTAGGCTTATAGTTTGCAAGCTGAAAAGGGGCCTCAGATGCCATGTAGTCCAACCTTCTTATTTTACAAATGAGGAAAGTCAGGCCCATTGGGGTAAAGTGACTTGCCCCAATTCTAACGGGCATATTTGGCTTAGCCAGAGTTCAATGCCTTTTCCACACTGCCAGGCTGCCCTTTGGGATACTATGTCTAGATGGTCTCTAAGATCCCCTTCCAGTCCTAACCTTTGACACAGGCTCTCATCAATCCACAACTCTTCTTCCCATCTCCATCACCAAGGCCTTTAAAGGGCTCAAGGTGACTCTGCCTCCTTCTACCCCAGTTCAATCATACTGGTTGCCCGCTTTCCTGGTGGTGATTTCTTTTTTTTTCTTTTTTCTTTTTATTTCTTTTTTCAGTGGATAAAAATGTTGAATCAATTTCCCCAGTTTCATATAAGAAGCATAAGATAGGACAAGGTGGTAGTTTATCATGTACTGAGGATGAAGAAAACAATCCCTGGGCTGTCCTGGTACTGATTGAACTTTAAAAGGCTTAGAGAAATAATAACACACTTATATGATACTTAAAAGTTTGCAAAGCCGTATATAGATATAGTCTCATTTGATCCTCACAAGGACAACCCGTGAGGAAGGTGCCACTGTTATACCCATTTTACAGATGAGTAAACTGAGGCTCAGAGAGGCAGTACTGCATAATGAATAGAGGGTTTGACTTCAGAGTCAGGAAGACCTGGATTCAAATACTATCTCAGGTAGTTGCTAGCTGTAGGATCCCTTGAGCCTCTTTATGCCTCAGTTTCCTCATCTGTAAAATGAGTTGGGCCTCAAAGGTCCCTTCCAGCTCTAAATCTATGATCTCATGACTTGTTCAAGGTCATATATCTTATAAGCAGGATTTGAACCCAGGCCTTCCTGACTCCAACTCCGGCTTGATATCCCACTATATGACACTGCCTAGGGCTCCTAGCACATTTGTGTGTATGTTTGGAGAGCAAGTGAAGGGAGGGGGTAGATCCCTTGTGGAGGATTATGGGAGAACGTGGATAAGAGTTATACAGGATGAGAAGGCATGAATGAATTGTGATATATATCATTGGAGGGAAAGACATGCATTAAGGAAGTCACAGATACAAATGGTAGAGATGGTCAGGTCAGGAATAGGGAGGTAGGAAAGAGCCCATACAAAGAGGATGATTTTTTTCCCCCACTTCCAACCACCATCTCCCTGTTGAAGCCTATAAAGGGAATGGGAGAAGTCAACTCTGAGTGCAGGTTTTCTAGATAGATAGAAGCATTGTTACATCAGCAACTATAGGAGCCTCTGTGACCCTGACTTCCTCCACAACCTTACAGACTCCAACAGTTGTATAAAAAGTCTCCAACTTCACACTATGATGTATGCCAGGTTCTGAAGTCAAGACTTCACTCAAATATCTCAAACCACAGGTAGCCAGAGGCTCAACAGATTTTTTTCTCTTGACAACATTCATACATTCACACATTTTACATACTTACACACATACATTCATAAACACATGCCCAACAGAAGGCAGTGGGAGGAGTGCTGGATTTTTAGAATTCAAATCTCACTGCTACTGATTAGCTGTGTGAGCCTGGGCAAGACACTGCCCCCTCTCTGGACTTCAGTTTCCTCATCTGTTCAATAAGGGCATTGGACTAGAACTCTAAAGACCCATATGGTGCCAAATCTTTGATCCCAGGATCTATAGACACACATACACACACACCTACCCATCACTGACCAAATGGTGTAGTGGAAAAAGTCCTGGATCTGGAATCAGAGGATGTAGGTTTGACTCTGGGT